TATTTGGAAAAATTATAAAGTCAGATTCATGAAACTTGGCAGTTGGATGTCCGATTATAGATCATATATATTTGTGAAGTTTTAGAGGAATTGCTTGACAGGTTCGGGTACCTGCCATACAACTCCAGAAGCTAATTTTAAATATTTGGAAAAATAATAAAGTCAGATTGATGAAACTTGGCAGTTGTGTGTCCAATTATAGGTCAGACATATTTCTAAAGTTTTAATGGGATTGCTTGACAGGTTCGAGTAGCTCCCATACAAGTCTTAAAGCTTATTCTTAATATTTGGAAAAATAATAAAGTCAGATCCATGAAACTTGGCAGTTGTGTGTCCGATTATAGATCATATATATTTGTGAAGTTTTAGTGGAATTGCTTGACAGGTTTGGGGACTTGCCAAACAACTCCAAAAGCATATTTTAAATATTTGGAAAAATAATAAAGTCAGATTCATGATACTTGGCAGTTGTGTGTCCGATTGTAGATCAGATATATTTGTGAAGTCTTGATGGAATTGTTTGACAGATTCAGGTACTTGCCATACAACTCCAAAAGCTAATTTTAAATATTTGGAAAAATTATAAAGTCAGATTCATGAAACTTGGCAGTCGGATGTCCAATTATAGGTCAGACATATCCGTGAAGTTTCTATAGAATGACTTCACAGGTTCGAGTAATTGCTACACAATAACGAAAGGTGCAGGGTATTATTCAATCGGTTTATACCGACTGAAACGTTTTTACTTGTTAAAGAATAAATTTGTTTCGCGATTCGAGTCCTATAACTTTAAAAGTTCCGTTCTTTCCACACAAATAACTAGCGGAGATAAGCGAAAACCTCTTTAAATACAACTAAGCTCAAATTTTCTGCACATCTTTTCGAAAACCCTATTTTAGAAGAATAATTGGAAGAAAGTTCTACCAACATACCTTTACCCTGCATAAATTATGCCCCTGCGAAACCTAGATATTTTTTGAATTACATTACTTATTTTTTATACCCTGCACTTCGTGAAGGGTATATTAACTTTGGTATGGAGTTTGTAACTACTTGAAGGAGTCATCTGCGGTATGGACATATATATATATTCTTGCTCAGCGTAAAATTCTGCGTCGATTTAGACATGTCCGTCTGTCCGTCCGTCCGTCCGTCAAAAACGAATAATGCAATCGACACCAAACTTTCACAAGTTTTTTCTTTTGTGCCAAGGACGAGCCCTATTGTTATTGGACTAATTCGGACAACGGGTTCGGGTAGCTGCCATACAACTCAAAGAGTTTATTTTAAATATTTCAAAAACTAATAAAGCTATAAATATAAAACTTTGTATACATGTGTCCAATTATATTCTACACATGCTCTAAAAATTATAATGGGATAGCTGCACCGGTTCGGGTGGCTGCCATACAACTCCAACAGCAAATTTTTTATTTTCGGCAAAATAATAAAGTCAGATTCATGAAACTTGGCAGTCATGTGTCCAATTATAGGTCAAATATACTTCTGAAGTTTTAGAGGAATTGCTTTACAGGTTCGGGTACCTGCCATACAACTCCAGAAGCTAATTTTAAATATTTGGAAAAATAATAAAGTCAGATTCATGAAACTTGGCAGTTGGATGTCCGATTATAGATCAGATATATTTGTGAAGTTTTAGAGGAATTGCTTGACAGGTTCGGGTACTTGCCATACAGCTCCAGAAGCTAATTTTAACTATTTGGAAAAATAATAAAGTCAGATTGATGAAACTTGGCAGTTGTGTGTCCAATTATAGGTCAGACATATTTCTAAAGTTTTAATGGGATTGCTTGACAGGTTCGAGTAGCTCCCATACAAGTCTTAAAGCTTATTCTTAATATTTGGAAAAATAATAAAGTCAGATTCATGATACTTGGCAGTTGTGTGTCCGATTGTAGATCAGATATATTTGTGAAGTTTTGATGGAATTGTTTGACAGGTTCAGGTACTTGCCATACAACTCCAAAAGCTAATTTTAAATATTTGGAAAAATTATAAAGTCAGATTCATGAAACTTGGCAGTCGGATGTCCAATTATAGGTCAGACATATCCGTGAAGTTTCTACAGAATGACTTCACAGGTTCGAGTAATTGCTGCACAAGAACGAAAGGTGCAGGGTATTATTCAATCGGTTTATACCGACTGAAACGTTTTTACTTGTTAGTCTTTTACTTTGGCTTGTGACATACTGTCGTAAGAAATTATTTATCGTATTCTTTTGATAATTTTATTGTTTTAAGATAGAATTAACAAGTCTTTATAAATTTTTATTTAATACGTTATGATTAATTACATGCATTGATGCGCCTATTTCTGGGAGACTGCTCGTTAGAAGAGTTTCGGTGGCAACTTTATTTTTTCTTACCACACCTGCCATATTGAAAAATTTTTACCTTTAAAAGTCGCATGAACGTGTTACGAATATATACATGATAAAATGAAAATTTCGGTGGGTGGATTTACCCTACCTACCTGCCCGTCGAAATCTTAAAACTTGTATTAGAAACCCTAGAGAGAGAAAAAACTTGTTGAGGAAGTTTTGGTGGCGTCTTCAATCTTAGTTGGAGGGGATAGGTTGGCATAGGTGTGGTCTTCCCTTTCCATCCTTAAAATAATTTCGTCTTTAAAAATTTCAGGAGAGTTAGTGCGAAAGTTTTAAGAGAAAAATTACTAATATTCAGTTAAAAAACTTGATGGCAACCATTTCTTAGCAGTATTTGAGGATTGCTAAAAACATGTTTTTTGTACAGGTTATTCGCGACCTTTGAAGGTGATAAAACGAGTATTTTAGTATTCTTATTAAAAAAAAAACAAAGCAAAAACATTTTTGTAAATAAAAAAAACAAAAAATTTTTATTACAACTACATTGGGCTTAGCCCTATTGCTCCAATTACTTTCTTTTTTCTAATCAAGAGAAATAAAGTTTATTAGGGATTTAGCTCATGATGCAGTGAAAGAAACTTGCAATTTTTTTGAAAAATGATTGAAGCAATACGGCCTAATGCAGTTATAATAAAAAAAAGTTATTTTTTCCTATTTACCGAAATATCTTTGCTTTGTTTTTTTTCTTTGATTGAAAATAATAAAATACTTACTAATTATACTTTCCAATTCATAGTGTCAAGGGTAATAATAAAAAATATAAAATACAAAATTTTGTATAGATCGAATTTTAATCGAAGACAGTAACATCTTTCACATTATCTATACCTGAACGCTATACCTGAACGTCATTAATTGCAATTTTGGAATATTAATAAAATACGCAAAAGGTCGAAGGGTCAATATAACTTTGACTACAATCAATTTGTTGCGGCAAAGATTGTTTTAGTTGTTTTTTTTTGTTAAATTATTCTTAAATTTCCCTCGTAATTCTTCTTGAAATTTTTGAAAACATTTTATAGAAAAATAAAGGTATTGCAAATGTCTTCCGTTTTGAAAAAGAAAAAATACATGCTAATAATGCATAATACCGCATAATAAAGATAAAAATTTGTTTTTTTTTTTGGAAGATATTTTTTTAATTATTTTAGTTTTGATCCAGTTTTTCGCTTGATTGACATATTGTTTTTGAGATTTTTGCGACATCATGTTATATCAAAATGAAGGTTGGAATACAGTGCATGAAGGTTGGAAGAAGACTTCCCGAAAAAAACGATAGGTTAAAATATGAAATTATGCGTAAAACGATGAGGGGAAAATTTATTGGAAAATTAAAAACTTATCTTGACTTTGAACCTAAATATTTCCGAATAACAAAAATTTTTGATTTATCGTTAGAAAGAAATATTTCGTTAGCTTTAAAATGAGCATACAAAGTTGTCTTTATCTGTCATTCTTCCCGAGTTTTAAATAAAAATGTAAAAATTAGACATACTCCAACTTTAAGGATCAGCAACACGAGGAGGGTCCTAAAAGTAAAATGTTACTGGGTGTTTTTTATTCGTTTAAGTCATTCTATTACCCTACTTCGGAAATACCATTGAGTCTTCGATACCATCATATAGGGTATCAGAATAAACTAGGTAAATTTGTAGGGAACAAAATACCGTGAGAAGAAATATGCAATATTTCAAAATAAAAAAAATTAGAACAAACAAATATTTTTGAAATATAAATTAAACATATGATAATGTGTGTATATGTGTGTGCTAATAAGAACAATATTGCAATCATTAAATTACTTTTTTAAATGAAAAAAAAAACAATAAAATAAATTTTACGTGCGAATATTGAACACAAACTTTTTAATAGGAAAATTTTACAGTATTTATAAGAATTAAAATATTCAATGGTGGTTAAATCACAAATAAAATGAAAATATTTCATGAAAAATTAAGAAAAAAAGGAAACTCCAATTCCTACACTCAAAAAACAAATAAAAAATTACGAAAAATTTCTTACCTGTTTTTTGCCAATTTTTTAAAGGTTATTTTTTTATTTTTTTTTGTTTTGCATTTTTAGGCATTTTTTTTCGTTTTTGTCTTACGTAATTGTACTATACTTTACTTATATTTGTGATATAGTATTTTATTTAAGTTTAAAAGTACATGGTTTGTTCAAATTGGGTTGAATTTTACAGCAAATATTCGGCACCGAAACAAAACGTCGCATAATCTGAATAAATACAAAAAAAAAGTTCAAAATCAAAAATTAAAAAACTTTCAAATGAAAAAGATTCTTGAAAATTATAAATTTTATTTTTATTAATTCGTTTTTTAAACAATTAAAATCAAATTTCAAATAAAATTTCCAAATTATTTTAATTTTTTCCTAAAAAATTGCTAATTTTTTTTTATTTTTTGCTTGGAGTTTTTTAAGTCAATTATTAGCACACACTGCGTTTTTTGTGTATTAATTTTTTTTATTTTTTATTTATCAAACTAAAAAAGTCCAAAAAATAATTGAAAAATGCTTCCGATTAAATTCCTTATGTACAATAATATGTAAACTAAATTATTACTTATAAAAATTTACCAGTGTATCCTTTCGGATAGACCATTGCAACTTCATCAAATTTCGGCTTTTTAATTCCCTGCGCAGCAGTCGGGCAGCCTGAAAGTGATCTGTGGGTTAAGAATGTTCCATTTATATGGCCAGTACCATCACAACCTGGTGTTGGGCAATTAACTCCATCGAATTTCATAGCAGCTGCTGCTGCAACGGCCGCCTTATGTTGTTCCACTGTACCACCATTCTCGAGTACTCTCATTTTGTTACGATTTGCAATTGGACAACCAGATGCACTATGAAAATAAAAATATTAAATTTGAACTAAGTGTTATTTGTGCATTATTTCCTTTAAACTATAACGTGATAGGTATATTATAATTCTACTCACAAAGCGAAAAGATAAAAATAATTGTAGTTCAGATCTTTATATCTAAAGTCAAAGCAAGTTTCCAAAAAAATTTTCTAATAAAAACTTAAATTGTTAAAACTTTAATTTAGGCCCTTAGTATAATTGTCAGAAGGAAAATAAAGCGAAAAAAAATTGTTTCTCACTTTATGCGAACATCAAAGAGATTATCCTTGAAGATTTGGATTCAATAATTTGAAATATTTCAAGTTATTAATTTCGTCTTTAATTCAACGCTTACAATTACACATTAATTGCTACAAAAATTTCGGTCGAAATAGGTGTGAAGCAGTCGTTCATGGGAACGTTTAAGTTATGATTATAAATTTTTATATGGACGCTCTTTATAAAGTTGATATTGTAAAAAACTCCTACAAAGAAATAGGACTTTGCTCAAACTTTAACTTGTATTGATATTTAAAACCAAAAGAATCTGTATAATAATGAGTTTCAACTTTAGTTTGACTATTTGTCAATAACTTTTAAATTATACTGAAAAAAATTGACTTTTATACAAACGTGTCAAACTATATCAACGTACTCGCACCATAATTACATCTCATGAAAAAATTATTGAACCAAATATTCAGAAAAAGAGTCAAATTTAAGCAAAACAGTACAAAAATGATAGCATTCCTTATTTCGCAAGTAAACTTAGTTGAAGCATGTAAATTTTAATCAAATTTCAATGTATTATTTTTAAATTTTAAATTTTGCTGTAAGTATTAAATTTCCGCTCCTTTAATTCTTCCACAAAACGAATTTATTTGAAAACGAGAAAAAATATAGTTGACCGTGTCAACTCTGTGATTCCCGTACGAATTTGTTACCATATGTGCGAATAAATATGCCATAGCTGACTACGCGAAAGACTGTGTCTTTAAGTTGCCATATTAATTCATGCAAAGTATCAGTACTGTGTTTTCAATGTTTTCTAAGATTTGGCCATACTGATAAGATATTGGAGTTGTATGGCAGCTATTACAAGGAGTCAAAAAATTTAAGCAATTTTTATCAAAGGCATCGGCCCTTCTAATATATTCGCTTGTGTGAAATTTCAATATCACAGTTTTTATAGTTTCTGAGATATAGCCAAATAATTTTTAAAGTTGTATGGCAGCTACTCAAACCAATACCCGGATCATACCCAATTTAAATAGTGCTCTGGCATTTATTATAATAAATTATTTGTGAAAATTCGGTGAACTCAGCTCAATTAGTTTTTGAGTTATCGTTGGGACGGACGGATGGACGGACGGAAAAGACAAAGCTAAATCGACTCAGAATTCGACGCTGATTAAAAACACTTCCTTGAGTCTATATCTCAGATTATTATTTCTTAGCGTTACAAACGGTAAGACAAATTTAGTGTATCCTTCGCACATACGTTTCGTTACATAAGACGAAAAAGATTTAACATTTTTTACATTTACAGATGTATCATTTTTGTAATGAAAAGTGTATATTTTAGTTACAACAGGAATAATAAGTTAATATCGAGAACTTTGATAATATTTCCAGTCACATCGTGCAACGAACATCACAGGCAGTAAGCACCTAATAGATTATAGAATATCGAAATTGTAGCACAAACACAACAGTCGGTGACTTCGATCAATTTAAACTTTATTATCATTACTGAAAATTCTCTAAAAATGACTTAAAATCTCTTGTCATGTAGGTGCAGAATCATTTATTATTGCAAATAAATTTAGTTTTTACCTTCTATGTGACAAAAATTTTCCAGTTGAATGTCCAGAACCATCACAACCTGGTATCGGACATCTGAAATTATAAGCAAAACACGTTTTTTTATTTACTAGAATAATATTAGATTATCATGGAATCAAAATTCAATTTTTACAAAAAAACAAAATCAAAACCATAAAAAACATTAGAATTTAAAAAAATATTAATAATCTGTGCGCATAAATTATTAATACTTTTTTTTCTCATATGTTATGCTTTTTGATTTCATGATTATTAAAATGTTTTATTAAATAAAAGTTTATAATGTACTTTTGTTTTTAATTTAATTATACCTTAATGGTTCAGAATCTTGACCATCTCGTGGTTTACTTTTGGGTTTGTTCGCTCTCGGGCAACCAGATAAACTTCGATGAGATGAATAATTACCGGTTACGTGACCAGAACCGTCACAACCTGGTGTAGGGCATTTTAATTCTTGTGAATGCGATTGTAAATGATTTCGATCAGCACGTGGGCAACCAGTCAATCTATATTGAAAATGTAACACATATTTATACTGAGATTAAAAGGATAAACATTTCATTTATTTATTGGATACCATATTATAAATTTTATAACTGCTATGCTACACTGTACGTATTATGAAAATATAAAATACAAATTGGGTAAAAATCTTTTATATTTTCCTATACATACATAAAAAATTTTATCTAATCATTTTTATTAATATAATTTAAACATTCATATAGCTCTTGCATACCGTTATAAAATGGAATTGTATCCCCATTTAAAAAGTTAACGAAGAAAATTATAAAAGGAAAAAGAACAAATTTTAAACAGCAATTAAAATCATTAAGTTTGAATATTACAAATTTCGCATATGTATATAAATATTCATACATATATTTACAGAAACTGCTCAATAAAAAGGATAATGTTTTGCAATTTGTGGTGAAATAAAATTAATGATAGGTAAGTAGTAATGTACAGATATTGAAGATACAATAGAATAGTACGGAATAATTATTATGTAAAATAGTTTTTGGTACTTCAAATCACGAATCACGTAATATTTAAAGTTATAATATGTAAGACGTCATATTTCGTATAGCTTATAAGAAATAAAACCATTGTACCTATATAGGCAACTAACGGTTATGAAATTAAAAAACAGTTATATTAAGCTAAGATATACAAGATTTAACATACTGGTATGTACGTAGTTTTCAAAATACATTTTTTTAACAACACATGAATATAATGGTTACGATTTCTACATAAAGATTAGAAGTTAAAAATCAATTTAATTTTTAATTGCACCTTCAACTCTACAAAACGGATAAAATATTTTTATAGTTTAAAACTTAAGGATACAATTTTAATATTTTTAGATTAAAACAACACTATATGCGGCGACCTCTTCTACTGTAGATCTCATTATATTTTATACCTATGTTCAGTTTTTCTTTTCAAAATGAAAATTCGATTAGAATGAGAAAATTATTAGCTGTATCACCCGTTTATAGTGAATATTTCCGTATAAATGTGACTGTAGAATTCTCTTCCATCCCAAATAATATCTTAATGTACATGTATACATTATGTAGGTACATATTAATAGGTTTTTTTTACAAAAGCACTAATATGCTCAATTGAGAATATTAAATAAATTTTATATATGTAGACTTCTATGATAAAAAAAAAGTTTTGCAGACATTGTATAAATAATATGATTTAAATTTAGATTGGGAATATTATGTAACAGCAACAATTCTAATTACGATGAGATTATTTTTTAACAATTCACCGTAATATAAGACATTGTTTTAATAAAACATGTAATTTGATTAAAATTTTTTATAACTTTCCTTAAATTTGTGAAAATTATGTGTGTGTTTTTAAAATATTGTATTGCTAATAATTATCCATAAAAAAATATTTAAAATTAAGCTAAATTGTTTCTTAAATAGAATGAATTACTAAAGTTTTTATTAAGATCGAAAAATAATTTATTTACAAGTGACAAAGATCAAGAAAATACTGCTACGAGTATTTCGAATTGCAAAGTAACCAATATTTTGTAATGATTTTTAATTTGAAATTCACTTTAAAATCCTGGAAATTGTCTCAAGAACACTTGGTAAATTAAGAAATGGAAAAAATAATTTTCAACTTCTCGATAAATGCAATTTCGAGAAAATACAATTTCTCCAAAAGGTCACGATAATTTTTCTAGATGTCACAGATTATTAGTAAATTATTACTATGCAATATTTTTAATTTTCTGAGAAATTTTCTTACTTTTGAGGTTCCAAAATTGTTGCAGTCTCATAGGTATAAAGCTATAAATATATGGATGATCATAATACAAATGTAAATGGATATTTTTGTAAGATTGCTGAATTATGTTTTTTAATTTTTATAGAAATAAAGCGCGAATTCAATTAGATCATATGCTAATAATACAGTACAATAAGAGATGGGAATGCTATGTATTTAAAACACATCTGGGTAAGTATCTGTATCTATAATATATGATATTTTTAAATATTCTGTGCATATTATGTTTAGAATTCTGTGAACATTAATTTTTTTTGACTTTTCGATGCCGACCAAAATTAAAATACTTATACATATTTATAGCAAGATACTTATTTAAAAGTTTTTTTTTATTTTTTATCATTATAACGTACCAAGAAAAGGTGAATGTATTCTGTTTTTAAAACAAACGGAAATTCGGAAACCATAACTATAAAAAATACTTGCATACAGAGATTACATATGCATATGTATAACAATAAGAATACTCTTAAATATTTTAATGACCCTAAGCATTATCCTTAAAAAATTAAACCCAAAATAAAAAATATAAAGAAATCATGGGAACCATCTCATCTTTGAAATTTTTATCAAATAAAGATTATTTTTCTACGTATAGGAAAAGTTTTTAAGAACAACATACATACAAACACATAAATCCATAAAATTAAGTCGAATGGTATACATTAGATGGATTAGAATTGCAAATTATGTAAGTACTCTTTTTATATAGTTGTATTTAAAAAAACACTTACATTTTAAGATTTTTAACTTTGTAAAACAACAGAAATTTCCTTTTTTTTAAATTCAAGTACCCAAAAATATACACAAGTGTAAGTTTATTTTTTTGTTATTATTTCTTTCTATTTAAGAATGAAAATATCGAAAATTAGGAATTTTTAATAGTGCAAGTTTCGCAATAAAGCTATTGGTGCGACATTTCTACACAGATCACTAATGCGTTGAGCGCCTCATTTGTGGTACAATAATATATTACTCGTATGTGCTTTTAAAACTAATTTTTCTGCCTTTTAAAAGTTAAAGGTTTTAAATTAAAATCTTTAATTGATATCAAACCTTTACTTTATCAACACAAAATTTTAAAAAACGAGTACAAATTAATTGTGCAAAGTACACCAAGAAAAGAATTGCGCATAACAAGCTTACAAAACTGCTTTTGTTTCTTTTATTTTCGAACACATGGAAAATTACATGAAAAGTTACGGTGTTTTTTTCTTACATATCCGTATAATTTATTATTAAATTACTTATTTATTCTAAAACAATTGAAACTGTATTAAAAAAAATTTAAGATTGAGTGTACAATTTCAAATAAAATACCAAGCTTCCAGAATTAACTTTGTGCTCTCATCTAATCAGTGACTGCAAGCTTCATATGCCATTATCAACCATTTAAGTTTTTATTATATAATTAGCAAATAGGTATGAATTTTTGCATTAATTGCCAAATGAATAATGATATTGATGATTATTCATTTATACTTTCAAAATATTATAAATTGGTTCATATATGTTCATAATGTACAAAAGAAAGTAATATTAATAAATCTAAATTAGAAAGTCTTCCTCAAGAAATATAAGGATTGAAATTTGAAAAAAATTCGTTTTAAATAATTTCAATTTTAAATAGCAGGACAAAAACATTGAGATTATTACAAAAATTTGCATCTGAAAAAAACTTGCATACCTTCGTCTAAAATCAACTATATATTATGTATTTTCTTATCTAAAAGAATTATTGAAACAATCTAAGCATATAAACATATATACGTATGCACCTACATAAATATAGTGTATATGCATATTGGTAAGACTAGTATGGAACGAATACATGAACGAATAATTTGTGTTCTCAAAGGTTTGCAAAGTACACGGTTTTTTTGAACTTTAAAATATTTTATAATAAAACTTTGTGTATAATTTTATTATTATGAGTCTAAATTATATTATAAAATAACATTGTTTAATACCTATATGACCTCTTCTTTTATACATATTAAACAACCATCTAGAATTGATTCCCGTTCTATTATACTATTACATAAAAATTTCTGCACATTAAATTCGTATGAATCACTCTGACTCCAAGACATATCTTTTAATTTATGTTAGTTAAAAAGAAGTAAAAAGGAAATTCTCAGTCGTGCATGACTAATCTGCATATCATCCATAAAGTCACCTATGAATAATATGTATTCATACATGTTTGATTTTTGTATTAAATTTATATATCTTATTAAGAACATTGGTTTATAGACAATAATATTGTGGAAGAATATCTAAAAAGCCCAAAAGAAAAACAAGGAAAGAAAAGAAACAGTCTCCAAAACAACAGAAACAAGAGCCAGAACAGAAAATGAGAAACAATGTCTTTCTTTTCATTAAATTCTTACACCACAATACTTACCCATTTTCATTACACACACATATACAGAAACAACAATGTAGTACATGTATATGTACCTACCCTTTCATTATATTATATAATTTACCTTAATGCTCATTTTTAAGGATATCTTATTCAGTCAACATACACATATTGTACATTTAACATGTATGAAAAACAAAATCATACGACACAAAAAATTCACCCATTATAAATTGAATAAAAAAAGAAAGGCAAAGGTACAAAATACTTTTAAAGACATTTTCTTAATATTAATAATTTTACTTACCCATCTTTTGTTTTATCGTGTTGTGGTATGTGTTGAGGTGGCGGCATGGCATAACATGAAGCTGGATTTGGTGAATAACCCCCGGAAACTGGTGTCGGGTACCCTCCTGGACCAACCGCTGTTGCATATGGGTTACATTGATATGCTGCTGGACCGTAACCATGGTAACCTGTTGGGGGATAATCTGATTGAACAACCATACCGTAACCAGGATGTGGGCTATATCCTTTAAAAAAAATAATGTAATTTAATATATTACAAGCTACCAGCAAATTGAAGTCTACTTCAACAATATATTATAATATTATTACAGAAACAAAATAATATTACAATTCAATATAATGGTGAGCAAGACTGAATTGAATAAAGAAAAACATTTTAAAAAAAATATGGAATCAGTACAAAAATTGCAAAACAAAATAATAAAATTTTTTAAAATCTTAGAGAACTTCTATTTTAAAAAAATAAAAAATAATAAAAGTAAAACAGAGGCAAATTGTTCATCTTACCACTAGGGTCTCTATAGCTATCAATATAATGAGAGCCACCACTATCTGGTGTTGATTCTCTGCTATAAGGGCCTGTTGGTCCGCTAATATGTCCCACTAAGCCAAACCCAAGAGGACGTGGTGGTCCGCTAAAGTCAACTGGCTCACTTTGAGGAGATCTTGCAGAACCGGCTGCACCATTTGCCCCACTATTACTGCCTGCACCAGATCCAGTGCCAAAACCATGAGGGTGTAATCCTTCTGTATGAACACCATATTGCGAACTAGATGAACTAAGTAAAATGCTATTTGTGATAATAATTTAAAAAAAAAAAACAAAAAAAATATTAAGAAAATATTATGTTAGAAAAATTTTCAAATTTACCTGTGATGTGGTAAACGTGTCACACTTAAATCTAAAGTTTGACCTTGTGGACTTGGCACTTGAGGACTAGCTAATTGATGAGGACTAGAACCGGGTTGAGGACTAGTTGCGTTATCGCCACCACCACCACTGCCCCCGTTGCCTGTTGTACTGTTCGCTACACCTACACCGCCTGCTCCTAATAAACGGTACTGTGAGGAATTAAATCCATGAGGACTCGGCGATGCAACGCTAGAAGATGAAAGATCTATCACAGGAACACCGGGTCTTGGTCCTGATGTTGGAGATGGAGAGCTTACTCCTCCATTGCTATTTTTATAAGCAGCGGCAGCGGCAGCAGCTTGAGCTGCAGCAACTTTCACAGATAAATTAATTGCTGAAAATCCCGGTGGTAATGGACCCATGGTTGGATCATAATGATACATTGGCCTTGGATATATTGGGCCGTTATTTTCATCATGTTCAGCTTTCAACATGCCCACATGAACCATTTGTGGGTCTTGTAAAAATTTTTGTTGCTGGCTATTAAGATCATCTGTAATTGGTAAATAAGAATACATATTGGTTCTTTGCGAAGCACAATTCGGATCATAACGCTCAAACGCCGTTGCTGATGACATTGTATTGGTATCATATACCAATCTAGAGGTATCGTATGTAGGTCGGTTGTTATTCAGAATATCACTTGTTGAATATGCAACTGATGTATGTTTAGAAATATCACTATTTGACACAACAGCTGCCGCAGCAGCAACAGCAGCAGCATTCATTTGAGAATATCTCATTTGTTGCTCAGCTGCGGCTCGTATATATGGATCATCCATTGATGTCATATTGGTGACAGATGACGTTCCATTAACATTATCGGACGTAGCATTACCATTCGATGTAGTTTGACTAGCATTCATTATTAAGGAGGAATTGGATTCATATTGTCTAGATCTCTCTTGAGAATTTTGTTGTTCGTTTATGTTGGCAAAACCATTCATTGACTGATGTCCTGAAGTAATTGAATTTCCATTAACGCTCAATCCAGTAGATGTAACATTATTACGTAATATATCTGTGCTTCGATTGGATAATTGATGTGATTGATGTATGCCATCTGTACTTGAATTCGATTGGATTCCATTTTGAATATTCGATGAAGAATTATTAGATTGCTGCTGTTGCAAGTGTTGGGATTGATGTTGTGATGTTGAATTCGTATTACCATTTTGTAATTGATTTTGTTTTGAATGATTGTCTACATTTGTATATGTACTTGAATTACTCGATTCATTATGAATATATACTGCCGAATGTTGTTGATTATGATGAGTACTAGGACTTTTAGCGTAACCAATTGAAGCTTCAGTTTTAATAGGTGTTGGACTGATTTCAGATTTAATGATTGGCATGTTATTATTATTACATTTTGTTGTGTTGTTGTTAATGCAATTTGTGTTATTGTTATTACTGACAAATCCATTTGGTGGAAGTTTATTGGAAAGTTCATTCAATTTGTCAGAATCTCTTTCTATCTGATGACGCCTACTTAATTCATCCGTTGTTATATTTTGATTATGCAGTACTGGAATTGAAAAAATTTAAAGGAAACTTATAACTATTAAAGTAAAAATACAGTAGGTACATGAAGTGTATGTCTTAATGATAATATGATGAAATTTTAACAAACTTTTTCATATATTTTTGTTATCAAAAATTCATGTGGAGACATTCATTTATGAGAAATTATAAATATTCAAATAATTCCAATAATTTGAGTTACAAAAAGAAAGCTATACACCTCTGAATGTAGATACAAAATTGCTAAATGAAATCCATTAAAATAAAAAATATTTTTACTTAAAATTTTAAAATTGAATAATAAATTTGCTGATGTCGTCTGAAAATAAGGTCCTTTGTTAATTTTATATGTATAAGTGAAATATTGTATCTCTGCAATATTGCTTAAAAATTATTTAATCAACAATTGAAAACATATTTAAAAATACTGCTACTGCACAAAAATATTAGAAGTTCTCTAATTTTTAGATAAATTGTTAATTTTAAAAGCACTAAAATAAAAATGAAAACTATACTACAGTTCTGTAAATTTTTGACCATTGATTGCTACACGTCAGTATTTAAAATTAAAAAGTTTTTAGTTTTTTTGCAATAAGATGCAGGTTTCTAGACCACTTACGTGAATTCTTCTTGAAACAACTTTGAAATAAATAAATTTATAAAAATACAAAATATGTAAGTAATTTCCAAATTGCGGTCAAAATTTTTTTAACCTTAATTAAACTAATTCAATATTTTCACTTTAAACAAACTGTATATCTTAAAAAGAAGAAAAAACGGTTTGAACGTCAAAACAATACCCAAATATTTCACGTATAACATTAAATACATTGATGTTTTTGAAATAATCTATCTACTGAATTAAAATAATTTATATTATTTTTCATCTATTTGAAATTATAATTTAAATTAATCATTTAATTAACAATGACTCTAGGTTTCCAAAAAAAAGCTTAATTCAAAAATAGAGCAGTTCAATTAATTTGAACATTTGTAAGGGTAGGTGCTATATAGGCAATATACCGCAAAAAAATGTACTTTATTTTTTTTTTGATAATGTAGCCTCATTGTATTTAGTTGTGGATTTAATTACAGTTTAAAGATGATTTTCAAACTTTATTTTTAGCAATACTGTTTTTTCTATTTACATTATGTACATATGTCCGCATTTTTAATTATGAAACAAGTTAAAAAAGTTAGTTTGCGAAATTTTCTCACGGTCTGAGTAGATTAATTTTTATAGTTAATGAAAATCAGTTGTCATCCCGAAAAAAATTGCACCAACGCAATAAATTTTAAATAAATATTTAGATATAAAAATAATAGTTTCTACACAATTTCAAAAAAGTGAAAAATATCCTGGGTTAGTACCGGAAAAATGCAAAAATTCAACCAAAAAATTAGAAAAAACAAAGCACATCAAACCATGCTTCGATATAACAAGACGTGTTCTCACTTCTCATATAGCATTTCAAACGAAAACTTCATTATTTTAAAGCAAAAATACCTTCGAATTATTTTCTCACTATAACCTCTTCCAAAATCTGTTTGAGTATTTATTGTTTATAGTCGGAGTCGCCTATAAGCAACTCGCACAAGAGCAAAACTCTTTTATAAGTAAAACAATCTTTACTAGAAACTTATTTCCGTAGAAGAAAATTTTTACCTATCTCCTCCCACTCTAAAAGTTTTAGTTCCTAAACCCGAAAAATACCATTTTTCAACTATGTATTTATTGCAGCTAAGCCATAAGTCAAATTTTGCAAACGCATCGAAATAGTGGCAGGCTTCCTCTACCGCAGCATACTATGTTTGAACTTTAAAAAAACGAAATGACCGTTAAAATTTACCGTTATCTAAAATCCGTTTTCTCCAAATTTTTGACATCGTGTTTTTTCAATACTGCAGATTGTAGGAGTCAGAAATTTTAGCAGCTTTCAGACAATAACAAATAATTCATTTCGCTAGAAGAAAATTTTTTTCCAAGTCAACTCTTGAAAAGGGTTATCGCCTCTTCAAATTTGTAAAAATTTGAATTTTTCGCACCATATTACATATGTATTTTCGAAAATGTACGTTTTTTCAAATTTCTTAATTATTTAATTTTTAAATTTTCGAATTTAAATTCAACATTAATTAAATTTCACAATTTAGAAACAAATTGAATACTAATCCTTAGGTTCAAGTGTTTAAAGATTATATTCTCCTCTAAATTTAAGCCTTGTCCTTAACAAGTAATTGTTCAATTTTTTATCAATTATATTCTCATATGATTTAAATTACCAATAAAAATTTTCTTTAACTATAACGAAGTTTATTTGTACTTTTTCTCCTCGTTACGTTATTACTCCTTCAATTTTCAATAAACTTTTAAAGAACTTTTATAAAGTACAAAAATGGTGCAATAAACGTTCTCTTACTCGAAATTTCTTTTTATATAAGCACATGTTTTTCGAAAAATTATCACTTTCAGATTTTTCTGGAATTTCTGTAAAATTTATTAAAAATTTTCATAATTTTATAAGAGGCTAATTATGTATCAAACTTTAGTTTAACTAAATATTTCAATATTGTGATTTTGTTTTACGAAATTTTAATTTTTACTTTAAAATTTTACTTAAATTTTATCACCTAAAAACTGCTATATTCTGCTATTTATCAATTTAGACAAAGGATTTTATATTTTTACATGAAATAAAAAGTTTGTTAAAAAATTTTATACAAATTATATTATGTGAATACATAAGTATGCTGATTAAAGTTAAATTTTTTTGAGAAAAGTATGGTAAAGGCAAAATATTTACATGGAGTGAATTTTTCACTTCAATATAATTTAAATATAAATACCTAATATTAAAAGATTATTAAAATAAACAAGTATGACCATTAAATATTATAATCAAATTTTAAATCAAAATAAAATAAATATGTATATTTAAAAACTATTACAAATATTCATAAAATAGTGTAGGCTGGATATTGACAAAACGTATAAATGAATAAAAATTTTGTATTGAAATAAAATTGTGTCTCATATAATATTTTTCTAGTTGTTTAGATATAAAATATTAGAAATTATATAATATATGTGTATATTTTATATTAAATGCTTGTGCATATTATTCACTATGTTTGTATATATATGTACATAAATATACATATACATACATAGATAAATATCCTAATTTAAACAAAAATTTATATTCCGTAATTTCACTTTTTTTGTTAACAATAATCCTGACGACTTCTGTTTTTTTATCAATTATTTTATATTCACAGTTTTAATGTTTTGTTTTACATAGTTTCTGTAATAATGACAAACCTGCTGCAGCTGCCGCTGCTGTTAAAATTGCTGCTGCCGCTGCCGTTTGATGGTGATGTAATATAAGACCATTACCAGCATGAAATTTTGCTTCGCGTGCGGCAGCTTTCTTGGCTGCAGCCGTTGGGCAACCTGATAGGCTTCGATGAGAATTACGATTTGAACTAATGTGACCTCTACCGTTACATCCAGGTGTTGGACATTTTAAAATTTGTTCATGCATCGCCAATACTTTATTTGTTTTTCAATATTTTTTTTTGTAGAATTTTTTTTTTTGGTTTTTTTCAAATGTTTTGTTTTTGTTTTGGATTTTATTGTTTCATTATGCAAGTGCATTTATTTTTTTAAACAGGGTCATACATGAAAAAATGTAAATAATTACTTTAATTAATTTTCAATGTTGTTTTTTTTTTTGTTTTTACAAAATTTAGAATTAAAGGTATTTTTAGTATTTTATTTCTTTTTTAAATAAAAGATTTGCTTTAAGTATTGAGTTCAAGCCAATTCAAAACATTCCAATTAAAGTTCAATAAATTCGATTGATTTACTTTTGAAATTAAGATACATTTTCTCACCCCACATTTAAGCAAATATCCATATAAATAAAAAAGAACTCACAAGAATTTTTGCAATTATTTTATATAAAGACAGCCAAATATATAAGTTTATCTGCATATATTTAGAAAAGATAGATAAATAAGTAGGTAGAGAAGAATAGAAGAAGAGCGGGGTTGAGAAAACCACTTCATAAATTTTTAGCTTTCAAAAACAAACAAGAGCTATATACCGATACTTCTAAATATTTTATAAGTACCGATATTTATCGAAATTTCTAACATTTGAGTAAATAGTTAATTATACTGTTTTGTATAATATATAGGCATATAATTTACTTATATAAGATAAAACATAAACTCAATTTCAAAAAACAACATTGAAAAAATGCTTTAAAATTGAAAAAATAGCATGCAAACAAAATTGGAAATAAATATAGTGTCTCTCTACCCCGCATTTTTGGTTTTAAAAAGTCCATGCACTCTAAGTTTTTTCCTAATAATGAAATAGTTAAAGGTTTGTGAAAGTGTTTATAAAATAGGAGGTACATAAGAATCTAAGAAGATATAAAAAAATTTATTTTTTGACATTTTTTACATGCAACTCTCTAAACACAACTAGCTGTCAACTACTTAATATTAACAAAAAAATAAAATAAACTAACAAATACTGCTCTAGATCTTTTCTTATGAAAAACGTAAACTTACTTTCTGCAGAAAGCTTATCCTTTTTTGGGCATCCGGATAAACTATAAATTTTGAATATATTAAAAAACAACATTTCATTTCTATGAAATTAAAGTTAGGAATATTTTTTGATGATGACAAAATGTTTTTTATATTCTTCTTTGCCATCTTGAAAATTACCTCCTATGATGAGAATATAATCCAGTAGCATGACCTTGCCCGTTGCATCCCGGTGTCGGGCATTTTGCATTATCTAAAAACAAAAATGCGGGTTGATTTTTGTTTTATTTTCCATTTTATATTTACAAAGTTATGAAAAAAAAGAAAGCTACTTGAATTTCAGAAATTAGAGTAGAGAGACTTATTTTCAAATTAAGGAAAACAAAATAATGAAAGAAATAACTATAGAATATAAATTTATACAACGAAATTTTTAACGATAAGTATTAACTGACCAAAATTTTCCACAATAATTATTATAATTGAAAAGATACCCTTCTTAGAAGTTTCGTTTATTATTACGAAAAAATATTTATTTCTAATTTAGAATCTCTTACCAGAACTCAATTTTAAGAGGGACTCTTGCCAAAAAAATGTTACAATAATTTTTAAGGATACTGATATTAATTATCAAAAAACTTGCAAATGTAATAAATTTATTGCCAGTTTTTACAATTTATTTTATGTAAAACCATTTTTTCGGAAAAAGAATATTTTGGTTATACCACTTAACTGGTCAATTAAGTTTAAAACTTAAATATTCTATTTTCACAAATGTAAATGTCATTTTGTAATAATACATAATAATATGTAGATAGGACTTTTGTCGTGCTTTTTAACTAAATTTAATATAAAGTAGTAAAAATTTTGAGACACTTTTTTAATATATTTCATAGAATTTGTAAGCACTTTTAATAAACTTATATTTTTGTTATGTTTATATATAATGTACAATATTATATTCAATGAGGGATCTATATAAATATGTGTATAATATCCAGGAGCATTATTAAATATTATAACAACTGATCCTAATTTAAATTTTGTTAAATTAACAAAAATAAAACAATAATAAAAATTAACACAACTTCATATTTTATATAAAATGAGGGAGATTATGTGATGGTGCCAAAATTTCGCATGTTAAGTTTTGGGAAATGTATTTCTCCATGTAAAAGAAGTGGAATAAACTATTTTTAAAAAGATGTCTGTCTGTCTATCTGTTTATCTGTTAAATGCAGATCTATATCTCAATTTCGACCGAACCCAGTATCTGAGTAAAGTGTATATCTGAGTTTAAATGAGTTTAAATGAGTGTATATCTGAGTTCGATCATCTTTTGAGACATATCAGGTTTCAGGTACTGGATCTTAAATATTGGTCTATTTCAAGTTTTTGATCATTTTTATGTCCTTCGTCTGAAAATGCGAAAAACCACCTTTCTTTTCAAGGAAGTCAAGTATTACCAACCGAAATACCTTAGAAACAATTGAAAGTTTTCAAGAAGTGTTCAAAGGACATTTTCATAATATTGTGCAAGATTCTCGCCAAATTAGAAAACACACTTTGCGGCCGGATATGTGTCATTATGTTCTAAAAAATTTTTTTGTTCTAATTCAAAATATTTTTATATTTAACAGTTTAAATTTCTTTTTCAGAAAACTTTATTTATAAGTGGCAAAGCTGCAAAATTTTTTTAGTGGTATTCGATAGTATAATATTTTCTTTTTTAATTTTAACCTTCAATTGTTGTTTACATAATATTATTGAAATTTAAAAGAAACAATTCCATTGTTGGTATATTGTTAACTTGAAGTTTTTGAATTTAATTGTTTCAACAAAAATTTAGAAATGGTTTCAGTTTTGAAGGAAATGCAACCGAAATTCCACATTTTGTTAATTTAAAAAAGTGAAAAATCATTTAAAAAAATATATTAAACTTCATTAAAGTTTATTACTAAGATTTTTATGCTTGCAAAACTTGTAGTGTGTTTTTCTAAGTAATAATGACTATGCAATCGCCTTCAATAAAGGGTCTTTTCAAATTATTTTTAATTCCTTACTAAATTTTAATTGTAGAAATAAATTCAAGAATTGGCTCATTTGAGCCAATTTATAAACGTCCCGAATTCGGGGGAGAAATTATATATAATTTGTTGTTTAAATGAAAAAACTAATGAATTGAAATAATGAGGATGCAAATTTTAAAACAATTCAGTTTTGTTATTTCTCACAGGTTAGCTTATTTAATTACATATGTACATGTTAAAAAGATTTGGAAAAATGTAAATCTGTTAAAAAGGTCACAAAGAAAAATTTATATACATATATTTCTAACGATAACGAATTACTCCAATTTTCCCAAAATTAGGCAAAAACACAATTACGTATTTAAAAAAAGTTTTGGTTATTAAATTTCCACTTATGGTGTACACAATCTATAACATCTGGATTTAGTTTTAGATAACTGACCAAATGAGTAAAAATTGCACTGAAAAAAAATCGCATATCGAATATAAATAAAATATTTCGAAAGTCATATTTCTACTTTGCAAATAAAATATTTGATAACTCGTAATAATTTACTCAAAGTAATAATTTCAATTGTATGAAGATATAAAATATATAATACATATATATGTATATTATATAGCATATGCATATATACTATATAGCATATAATAGTATATTATAATAAAATACATAGCAACTTCGTTAATGTAAAAAGAATGTCAAAAATTATTCTAATTTACAAAAATTGAGTGGTTTTATATCTAATATAAAGATGGGCTTTTTTTTTTGTCATAAAAAAAAAATTGTTTTTTTGTATTTAATAAAAATGTTAACAACTAGTGCAATCGATATTCTACTCATGAAAGATACTGCGGTATTGAAGTCATAAACCACTTGGTATGTAAATATGTGCACATATTTATAGAGTTTTTAAATAAAAACGATGTAAACATTATTGTTAAAAAAACAAATAGATGCGCTTTACAAAATAAAAATTATATCTTTTCAGTCGCAGCAAGCTTCAAATTTTTTTCGATATTCATACATGCATTCGTATACTTACATACATACATAGGTACATAATCGGCTAGAACAAACGGCACGATTATCATAAAACTGATAGACTGCAGTAACGCAATTATTAAAAATTTTTAACAAACCAAACAAGCAAAAATATAATATACTTATGTATATTTTTCGGTACTTCTTTTACTTCCTCCAACTTTATGGGAAGTTTAAGCGAAACAAATTTCACTCATTCAAACATATTGAAAATTTTCGTTAAAAAAAACAAATTTTTTTAATAGAAATTAAATAGAAAATAGAAATTGAGTATTTGCAATTCGACGAATGCAAACACAAAGACCATGCTTCTATACCATGCCCAGGCTTAAAAAAGTTTTAATATGGGTATAGAGTTGACCTTACTGAAAGAAAAATGTATGCGTTGTAATACAATAAAAAAGGGGAAAGAACTAATAGTGACTGTTCTTTTGAAGTACAATTTTCTGTTACGACAGTAAAAGAACTGACAAATATACAACCTAGAAAGTGAGTTGTAGAGTTTGTGAAGTTACACAGTGTAGAGCCAAAAAACACAGCTCGAAATGAATTCTGATAACTTACTCAAAGATCTAGTCATATGGTTTCATCTTGACATTATTTTACATAAAAAAGTTTTTCGTAAGGTAAATTTTTTCTATTATTCTTTGCAGCTAAGTACCATAAGCTCATTTTGTAAATAGCAAAATTTAATTCAGAAGGCCGCAATATTAATTGAAGCACATTTATACCATACATTATTTTGCTTTGAAAACGGCCCAGTAAGATACGATTTCTTCAACTTTTACAGTTTGCCTTTTATCATTTTAATACTTATATATTGACATTTACATATATTCATTAAGGTATTATTAATCAAATTTTCGCTTTCAAAAAATAACAGATTGCTAAAATTCAATTCAAATTGATTTGAGCGACAGCTTAAATTACGTAAAATGAAAATCTATCAAATAGACATTAATTTAATGTACGGTAAGCAAAGCAAGTCAACCAGTATTGAATATTTTCATATAAATTTTAACAAAAATACATAGTATGTTCGGAAGTAATTAAAATATTATTTGTGAATAAACAATTCACAACATAAATTTTGCTATTCATTTTTCAATTACTATACTTTTCATTAGCTTCGTTCTTCCCCTACAATTTAAATGTTTAAAATTTTCACAAGCCGAACATCAATAATAATAATACTATTATAATCCTTTTAAAATAGTAGTAAAGAAAACAAAAGAAAAAATACTTAAAAGGTATTTAAAATTTCATTACCCCCGTAAAAGAAAACTTCTTGTTGTATATAAAGCAACAAAATGACTTATAATTCAACTTTAAAACAATTATTTCCTTAAAGTGCGTTATTCATAAGGTAAAATATTTTGTTTATACTCGTATTTTGAAAATCCATTTAAAACCATAATTTGATGTTATATAACTCTAATATTTCATTAAAATTATTTTATTACTTACATATTATTATTATTATAATTGTCATTATTTCATTGTTGTTTTTATTATAACAATATTACAAGTAGCTTAGTAAGCATTCGTGCACAAGCAATACAGAATAACATTTGAAGATATAAGATATTACCGCTCTTAATATATGTATTTAATTCTTGCGACTTTGTCATAAAATATATGCTATATACATATATAGACATATGTGTGTACATTGTTCTTACATAATTATCTTGACATTTAAAGTACCTTTGAAAAGTCGTAATGACAAAACAAACACTTTGACAGAAAATAAATGTGAAAATAATTACAGTCAAAGAAGGCAAGCAATGAAAAGAATATGAAATAAAAGAATATGTAAGAATTTCATAAAAGTATTTACAAAATTCAATTTATAAAAGTTTTCATACATATGTATATGTACATTATGTATATACATTTTCGCATAAAAAGTCTATAGGATAAAATTTCCCAAATTTATAGATAATTGAAATTTTGTTTTAAAATCAATGAAGTTTGTTTGAAAATAACGTTATTCCTTTATTAAAGACTTAAATATGTAAAATTTTTCAGTTATTTGAAACTAGAAATGAAGGAATACAATGGATAAAAGTATACAGTGGGAGTCACAGCATTTTTATTTTCACAAATAGAGTTCCAGATTTTTAAAAAACGCTGCCTCTATGCATTAATCAAATCTTATTAGTCCTTTTATGCATTTCGTAATGTTTATTACTGATAACTGAAAAAAAAAACAGCATATTTTTACTATGTTTAATTGTAATCGTCAAGATTTCAGGAAAAATCCGGTGAAACGTTGAAACGCAAATTGAAAATAATTTTAATTTTTCATATTTATTTATGTTGAAAAATTTTTAATTAATATAGTTCTTAAAGTGATGTTCACAAACAAGTATCTATCATATTTGAAATTTCAGGGTTTTTTAATAAAAAATCAACTACGTTTTCTTATATTTCTATAGAAACATAAAAAAATATAGTTTCTTTACTATTGTTATTTACAGAACTGCCGTATAAAATTAAACTAATTTAAAGAAACAATAAGCTTATAAGAAGAGTTTAAAATATTAAAATATAAAATATAATTTAATGGAATGAAAATCAAAACGTTAATAATGTAGTGGTCTTTATAATGTTATAGATAAAGGAATCACACAACTCTATTATAAATTCAAAAAAAAAAAAACACAATAATAATAAATATTTCATAATATGAACAATAAGAAGTTTATATTTACCTCTATTTAAACTTCCAGGTGAAAATGGTGGTTGTAGTGTACCACTATTTCCATTATTCGTATGATGATCTGTATATGACATTTTATCGTTTTGTGATGTTGTCGATGATACAATATTACCAGGACTTACAATATTACCTGATATTGCTACACTATTTCTATTGCTACTATTATTAGTATTACTATTATTATTACTACTGTTGTTGCTACTATTATTACTATTTATTGCTGATACTGTTAAAACACCTTCTCTAGAGATATCTTGCATAACAGATGCAGCACGACTTCCAACACCAGCTGGTTGTAAAATTGTATATTGTTTTGTATCTGGTGATGTTTCGTTTATGGTTTTATTGCATTCCTCACTTGTATTCGTTTGTTCTGTTGATAAATGTCCCGTTGTCGATGTTGTTAAATTTTCCTTTAAAGATGAAGATGAATTTGTTGAATTTGTTTTATTAGCAATACTAAAATCGTTTCTTATTGTAGATATATTGCTATGATTAGTATTTGAAGTAGGAGTAAATGTGATTGCACAAGGAGTAGAAGATGTAGTGGTATTTTTACAATCACTCACCGTTATACCTAAATTTGATGTTGTTGTTGTATTATGTTGTTGTTGTAAATTATTTGCGATTATTGATGGTGGTGCTGTTGGTGGTGGATAACCTAAATAAGTTGTTGTGTCAGTACCGTAAGTTGCAGCTAATGTTCCCGTTGTATAACTACCTATTAAAGAAACACCATTTACCATTCTTTTGGCATCAATAATTGGTGGTTTAAAAGCTGACGCCTGAGAAAAAGGAATTTTTGATTTACGATCATCCAAATCCAGTGAATTACTTGAATAATTATATTGGGAATTAATGCGAGCTTGATCGTTCTCCTTTTGCCTAGGAATACATAAAAAATTATCACATTCGCGTTTAATGTTATGAGAATTATTATTAGTGTTATTAATTATATTACTTATACTATTTATTATGTTATTGTTTGTCTGGTTTTGTGATTTTATATTAAATGCTGTATTATTAACATACTTTGTGGAATATTTTTGCATTTGACTGCTGTATGAATCCTTTAATTTTTCATCAAATAAATTATGAAATAATGGATTTTCGTCCTGATCGTTTCTATTATAAATTGATCCTTTTGTATCGTTTGTCCAATTACCAGATAGACTTTTGAGAGCAGCTTGAGTTTCTCTTATTAATGTTTCATCGTCCTGATCTTCAGAATATGATTTTACAAAATTATTATTAACAATAGTATTGTTATTATTATTGTTATTGGTTAGGTTTGTAGGAGTTGTTTTACCATTTACTAAAATTGTGTTAGATGTTACAATTGATCGTTTCTTTTGTGGTAATGATATTTTTTCATCAAAAGATTTAGATGGACAATCTTCGTCACGACTTGAACGCTTCTTACGTTTTAATACAATGTCTTGTTCCTCAGCTTTAACAGTTTCTAAAACGGTATCTTTCGAAAGCGGACGTTTTAAGAGGGCCATTTTCACATTAACAAACTATGTCTCAACATATTTGAAGAATTGTTCTTATAACTTTTTCAATTAAAAATTTGATATGCAATTTTTGAAAACTTAATATTTTAATTTCTACTGCAATGTAAATTTTTATCGGAATTTCAAATTAAAGTTAACATTAATAGTTTTGTTGTCCCATTAAATTGTGGCAATTTTAAAAGCATTTAAACGTATTATTGAAATTAAATTAATATTGATTTCTATTGAATTTATTTTTATTGATTATTAAAGAAATATTCGCATTTAATACTACTAGTTTTGTTTCATCCTACTCTATATTTGTTGCAAATAGTTCAGTATTTTCATTTTGATTTTGATACAATATCAAACAATTTATATGCTACAAAATCATAATAATTTACTCCTTACTTACAGTATTTACAGGGACTAATTTCAGATCAACACAGTTGGGTTTGTTGTTTCACCACGTATGTTGGTGAAGATGACGCACAAATTATGGCTCTAAATTAAATAACTATTTACATAGCGGTTGGTTAATAAATTTATGTAATCGAGATTATGCGATTAGACATCTTCAGATTATTTTCTTTTGGGATAATTAACGTATAATCTTTTATTTATGGCAGCCATCTGGTATTGACAGCTCCTTTGTGAAGTAATATTAAACGGGTAATTGAAGATGTTCAAGCGAAAAGGTGAATGAATTGAAATTGGTTGTTTCATATTGCTCATTCAAAGTCGTGACTAACATTAATATAAGATTGTATTTTAAATTTTGAATATAAAAATAAAATTGCAACGATCGTTGTACTTCAATAATCGAAACATTACATCATTATAAAAATCGAAAATTTTGAAAATATTAAAAAAATTTTTGAAAGTTATATCAAAACTAAAGCGATTAATTTAATTAAAGTATTAAAATAAAGAATTCAAAACATTACAACAACTTGCAGAATGAGAAAATTTGTAAAAAAATTTCTTTCAGAGAAATATATTTATGAGCAAGATGGGTTTCTGCATAAAATCACTGCTTTTTATATTAAAGGATACAAATTTTTTTTAAAAAGACCCACAGACGGATCGTTTGAAACTGATAAGTAATTTTTTTGCAAATTTGCTCAATATTTAATTGACAAAAATACGTTAACGCTTTTTTAATGACAAACTGAAATTGAAGCAATTTTGTTTCCCTATGTTCGGGAAAACCAATTACATAGTTCAAAAAGTATTTTTGGACTATTAGTTTTTTTTTCTAAATATCAACTTTAAAATATGAGAATTTATAGCAGTATTTATTCTTTAAAATTAAATTTATAAGTAAATATTGGAAGTAATGATTTTCCGAAGCATATAATGAAAGCTAGAAATTCTTTTTTGGAAGTTGAATTAATTGATTGTCTTTTGTGTGTTAAACAGTTGTTCCTTCTCTTAGATGAACAATTTTGAACAAAGAATGTAGAAAAGTAGCAGATATTTTTTAAAATCGATTTTTTGTAACTCAACTTAGATTGAGTTAAGGATAGCTAAGTTGCATTCTGATTTTTTTTTGTGATCTGATCACTATATCTTTAAAATATTGTGGTTCTAGTTTTGAAACTAAAATTTAAAGTGTTGGTCAAAGGGTTTTTATTACAATATTATGATTAGATGGATTGACTCATTTTTAAAGCCTGATTCTGTTTTGATAAAGTGTTTGGTTAAATTTTTTGAAACATAAGAAACTATCCTTTCGTAATTATCCTCATACTAGTATTTGCGGAATTAGTGATTAAGTTTGCAAAATTGGTCTTTAATTATAGAATTTCAAGAGTTTTAGTTCAGAATAACATTGTTGAAAAATTCAAGATATACAATCAAAAATTGTTTTACTCATAATGTGGGCTCCGCTTGTCTCTCGTATTGTTTATCCAAGTATCTCTTATCTACGTTTTTATTGTGTATATCCAAATAAAATTTGTTAATTATTTTAAAAAATCATATGCAAAAGTTTACGACACAATGCCTTAAAATCTTTTTTAAGTATGTAACTATTTCGAACGAAATTTGCAAGTTCTCGTATATTTTAAGGTTTTATTTGGATGACGATAGTTAAGCCTTTACATATAAAATTAAGAATTTTTTTAAATATGAAACTATATTACAATATTAAAATAATAATGTTTTTAATTTTTTAATTTCGCTAAATATTTATAAATAAGTATTTCTATATAGAAATGCGAAACAAATCAATTATAAATTTACTGTAAATATTTTTTTTTTGGCCAACATTTGAAACATATAATTTGTTATGTAACAAGTTAAACTATGTGATTTTTCTTTTTATGATTTTCAGTTACACATTTCAATATAAAATTATTAAAACAAATTGCGATAATTGTGTTACTTTTAGAATATTTCTGTAATAATCTTTAAAAATTAATTCTTACATAAATTTTTATAATTTCATCTCATGTATAAAAAATTAAAAATATTAAAAATAAGAATAATACTCTATTTCAAATTAAAATAATTTTTTAATTATTGAAACAAATTAAAGTAATTAATAAACATTTAATTTATAAAATAACCTTTTTGTTGAACGAACGCTAAAGAAAAAACAAGTTTGTTTTTTTTAATATTAACATTCACACTGATTTCTCTATTAATTTTTAAAATTTTATATTTTCTGTTTGTTAAATATACTTTAAATCTTAAAATATTATCAAAATTTTATTTATTTTTTTCAATTTTCAATTCAAATTCACTATCACTTTTTAAAATTTATTATTATTTTTCATTCAATTTCTTCCTTCTTACATAAATTTTAGACTTAAATATTTTTTTTTATCAAAAATTATAATTATTTATTGCAAAACTTTTTGAAAAAACGAACAACAAAACAAAACGCTTAGCTTATTTTCACTTTCATTTAATTTTTCCATTAAAATTTGAATATGTTAAAAAAAAATTCTATATGTAATATAAAATTATCTATTAACTTTTTTTTTATTTTTGATATATTGTTTTAAGTTATACACAAGTAAATTAATTTCAATATTTTATTGTTAGATTTCAATGGTTTCAATCGCATTTACATGTATGCATACATAATATTCAATATATTATGAATAGTTTGTAATACCGAGCCGCATTCAAATAAAGAAATAGGTTAATTTTAAATTTTTTCGGAATAATTGGCTTAAAATTTGCTTCAACAATTCTTTACTTTTATGATTTTTTAATTTTTAAACTTTTGAAATTTCTTTGTTAGTTGTAATTTTTATTTTTAAGTCTTTTACTTTCTTTCTTTTTCTTTCGTTCATTTATTTTATTGTGAATGATGATCAAAGTTTTATTTTTCACAATACCAAGTTTAAAAAAAAACTATAATTTAGAACACCAGTTTTGAAAGTTTATTTCCAAAAGCAAGAAATTTCTTTTCTTTTCCTCAGTTTAAAACAAAAAAAAACTTTTTCCGAATTTTATTTTTAAAAGAAAGAAAAACAAGTGGAAGCAGACAGAAATAAAATTTATGAAGAAAACAAGAAAAATAAAAACACAACTATATAACAGTAAATTTATTTTCCTTCTTTTTATTATTTTTTTTTTCTAAATTTTTTATTTTTTTTTTTTTGATATTATTCGTTTATTTTCTTAGTTGTACACATAAAAACAATTTTTTTTAGCTTGTTGCAAAACGATTCTAAACCACGCGTCTCTACCTGTACTAAGTTCGTAACTAACTGGCACCAAACTACCCAGAGTTTTTCCAAAGTTGTCTCGAACTTTTACGACTTTAGAAGGAAAACTGCAGCCAAAAATATTTTATGTGTGTATATGTATAAAAGTGTTATATATGTTTAAAAGTATTAATATATTTACAACAAAAACAACGATAATAAGAGAGAGAAAAGAAAAAACAATAAAGCAAGAAAAAAGCATTTCCTAACTTTTTTCCTTTTTCGTCCTTTACGTTTTTTCTTTTTATTTTTAATTTTCTTTATATTCGTTATATGCGTATGTGTGTTTGATAAAAGACCTTAATTTAATCTTTTAATACATTTGTACGTATATATATATTACATAACAAGTGAATGTATACGAATTTTCTCCTTTTTCTTCTTCTTCTTTAGGAAAAATATAAAAATTGTTTTTTTTTTCTGTATTTTAATCTATAAATATGACAACAAAATTTGAGTAGCAATTACACATACAAATGCACGTAAGATATTAGCAAGAAAATAGAAAAATTAAAGTGAAATTTCTCTTTTAAAAATTTTTTTTTTAATGCATGATCCAAAAATTTGGAAAGCATATTATGAAACCAAAGAGAATGGGCGGACACCTGAGCATTCCTTTGATTAAAAAACACACAAAAAAAGTTTTTGTTTTGAAAAAGAAAATCGGTATACATAAACAATACAAACACACGACCTAATTCTGTTATTTCATCTCTATAAAATCTTTTAACAAATACCAAGTTAAAAATAAAGAACATTTTCATTGAAAATGCATTAGCATTATGAGAACATTTTTCCACATTATGAGAAAAATTTCAATCTTCCTGGTATTGTTATAAGGGGCGCATGTCCGTGATTTTTTCAAAATAGTTATATATGTGTGAGTATAACATGTATTGGTATAACAAATAAAAAGCTTTTTTTCATCCATGAGAAAGAAAAAATAATAACAATAATGAAAACCTCGTGGTAACGGATTGGAAATATTGGAAATTTTCTGTATGTGGAAAATTTATTTTCTTATTATATTGGAAAATAACAGTGTTATTTCATTCTAATTGTTTGTTTCTGGTGTCAATTCATTCAATCTGGAAATTTATCCACCGTTTTCCATTCAGTATTATCAAATTAACTTTTACTTCATATTATCAAACAATTTATAAAACACAAAATAAAAATTTTCCTCTGTATTAAAAACAAAAAATATTTTTAAACATGTATATTTGCTCGTATATGCATACAAATGCAAATACTTTGATTATATTTAATTTCGTATACATTTCAATTTACACAATGCACACATGTAAACTATTTCTAAATAGTTTTTCATTTACCTATTTTGAAAAAAAATTATACGGGCTCGTGTTAATTTTTCAAAAAGTATACAACAAGTTTAGTTGTATTATGCAGTTGGTTGTTATTAAAAAATGTTTGTACGATTGTAATTTTATTTTAGTATCAGAAAACATGAAAAATCTTTCCCCTCTCCGAAAGCTGTACAGTTTTTAATATTTGATAATGAGACCGCCTTAGTTCTAATTTTTCTTCAGTTTTATTGTGACGGTCAAAGGATAAAGAAATTTTTTCGCTTCAATTAATCTATGATATTTTACTTTTTTTTGATGAATTGCATAGCTACTTAAATAAATATAAAGAGGATAATTTCAGCTCCAACTACTAACAACAGAAAGAAAAATTAAAAAACAAAATGAGAAACTAAAAGTGCAAACTTAAAAAAAAAACAAAAAAAAAAAAGATTTTTCTACGTCATTCTTTAAACAAATTTTGTCGTTAAAAATATTCACAGCAGTTGGCGAGGAACCTCTAATTTTTGACAAATACAATGCTCGAAAAATTATTTCATATATTTTATAAAATAGTTTATGAATTTTGTTAATTACTAGAAAAATAAAAGAAAATTTAATAAAAAGTATGTGAATTTATAATTAAATATCAAAAAGTATTAAAAATCATAAATAAAATTGCCCGATCTCAACTATATAAGCCCAAGTATTACTGAAAACAATTTATATGTCCAAATAACTGAAAAATTTAAAGTGGATATATAAGATCAAAGTTGCATATTTAAGCATATTTAAATTAAAGCCGTTAAATTAATTGAATTAGGTATATAATTAAAATCAACCAAATAAATAGCGTAAACCTACCTTAACTCGAGCTACAGTTGTTCACAAAAGAGTCGTAGCTACTCTTATTAAGACACTTATATTATAAATTATATAAAATGTTGTATTCAATATTCATGGTATTGAAAATATTCTTAAGAATTGTTATAACAAGAAGATAATCTTAAGCATTTTAAAACATTATAACAAATTAAGAACACCACATCTTCAAATACTTTTATTAAATAAAATGAATATCTATAAAAAAATTTAATCAAATGCTGGCATCATAGTTTGTTATTAATTCTTAAATAGCTTAGATAAAATTCTAATTTGTTATGCAATACAAAAATATCTCAAAACCGTCGGTCAAAATTTCCGGCGGCCTCACACATAATCACATTTTTGTTTGACTTGTAATTTGTATTATCCCTGAGTTATTTGTTTTTCACTGTTGTCAAATAGGGTGTTATTAGCCATCTTTTTCATTCAACTCTTCAATATTGTTAACCATAAGCTTATTATAACCTTTCCGTAAGAAATCAGGCAAGAAATTATATTTGACCGATTGTTCTATTATTGGGTTTTTAATTTAATAACTAAAAACTTAAATCTAAAAAGGTAGTAATAATGAAAATTCGGGAGAAGAAATTAGATTTACATCAAAAATTTATATTTCCGTTAAAGGGTTTTTTTTTATTACAATAAGCATGACAATATACAAAGTGGTAACATAAATGTTTATTAGCAAAAAAATTCAATGATTTTGAATTGCAAAAGTTCTTTACTACACTACATTACTACATTCAAAATATATGGGATTAAAAATAATTGCCGAAAAATTAATTAAATCTTAAATGTAATTCAAAATAAAAAGTGATTTAGGAAAAAGTGCTTGTTTCATTCATTTTGAAATGTTTACGAAAAGTTATTGAATTCTGGGTTATATTTAGGATCGTACATAATTATTACCCGATGTCACGAAGTCTTAGTTTGAATAAATTCCGAACATGCTTGGTCCGTTCGATAATGGACAATAGTTATTGAAATAAAAAACTATGTATATGTATATGTAAAAGCAAGATCAAAATATAACAACATGAATGAAATTAGTTTGATATTAAATATTATTATGTACTATGCCCACGATTAATAGATGTTAAAGAAAATTAAAAAAAAAACTAAAAGCAAAATGAAATCAAAATATCTACTTTATTGATTATATGATGGAACAACGATGAATTTGATTTAATACCGAATATAATATACTTAAAAATTCATTCCCAACCTTCCCGATTTCCAAAATATTATTGCTTGGCAGCCATTTGAAATATAATATTTTAAAATGGAAGCATAAATCCTTAATGAATAGAATAAAATCTGTTTGATTTTTGATTTATGTTTAACTTTTTAGGAACCTTAACGCTTTCCTTAAAACGAACGGTCTTTTTAAAGTCTTACGTCTTAGTTTGCTTCTTTATTTTCCTAGAGTTTTTAAAATTCCTAGGACTTTGTTAGATAATAACTAATAAATAATAATAATTACTAATCTTATTGAAGATAAAAAACCATATTTATACAAACTAAAATAAAGTATGACCCTTCATTCAAAAATTATATTAAGTATATTCCAATAGATTTTAATGACATAGCTCATAAATACTTAAAAGATGCATAAACAATGCCTTTATTACTGTTATCATTTTTACGCTAATTAAATCCTAATAATAATGGTACTTAATACCACATATTTCACTTCAGAAACAAAAGAATTCATTGAAATTAACATAAGGATATTACGTACATGAGAAAACTAAAACAAATAACGATA